CGTATACCGTGTCTCCTGGTGAGAATGTTCGGTACCTGCTAGATGAGTCGGTGGGTTTTTCGGGGTTGTATGTGGGGTGTAGCCTATCCAGGGGGGACCTTAGTTTTCTCCCCATCAGGAGTTCTGCGGGGCTTTTGTTGGTCGTTGTATTTGGTGTTATGTGTTGGATAAAAAGTAGTTTATTTATTTTTTCCTGCATGTCCCCGGTCTTGATTTTTTGAATTGTTTTTTTCGTGAATTGGACCATTTGTTCCGCCCTACCGTTCGCCGCTGGATGAGCCGGCGCTGTCAGGGCGTGCCATATTCCCCGTTCCACTAGGAATTTCTCGAATTCCAGTGCGGTGAACTGTGGTCCGTTATCTGACACTATTACGTCCGGGAGGTTGTGGGTCGAGAATAGTCTGTTGAGTTCTCGGATGACGGCCTCGGTTGTGGTCGTTTTCATGTCGCTTACCTCCAGCCAATTGGAGTAAGCGTCTACCGTTATAAGGAATGTATGTCCTTTAGTGGGGCCGGTGAAATCTATGTGTATCCTGGACCATGGTCCCCTGGGGGTTTCCCATTCCAGGATTGGGGCGGCGGGTGGGCTAGGCCTGGATTCCTGGCATTGTTTGCAGCTAGCTACCCAGGCTTCGATTTGTTTGTCCATTCCTGGCCACCAAGCGTAGCTTCTGGCCAGGGCTTTTGACCTGATGATGCCTGGATGCCCCTCGTGTAACAAGTCCAAGAACCTTTTTTGTAATTTTTCTGGGATTACCACCCTGTCCCCCCATAGTATACAACCTTTCTGTGTGGAAAGTTCCGTTTGCTTGTTTTTAAAAGTCCTGAATGTCTTGTCGATGTCTTTTTCCGGCCAGCTCTTCTCCACCCATTGCAATACCCTCGCCAGACGTTTGTCTTTATTTGTTTCATGGGCAATGTCTGACGCGGTTAGGGGGAGGTTAGGTATGGCCTCGATGCTCAGGGTGGATGTTGTGGGTGCTGGGTCGGCGTCCAGGTCGGGTAGCGGGGTGCGGCTCAAGGCGTCTGCATGTGTGATCGTTTTGCCGGATCGATGGGTCAGCCGGTAACTGTAGGTGGCGAGGAATTCAGACCACCTTGTCATTCTTGGGGATAGAATGTTCGGGGTGGCCTTGTTTCCTGCCAGGATGCCCAACAACAGCTTGTGGTCTGTTATGATGGTGAATGTTCGGCCGTAGAGGTACTCGTGGAACCTTTTGACGGCGGCGATGATTGCCAGGGCTTCCTTGTCGAGTTGGCTATAGTTCCTTTCCGGCTTCGACAAGGTTCTCGAGTAAAAGGCGATGGGTGCTTCGTTTCCGTTCGGGAGTGTGTGGCTGAGGATCGCCCCGATCCCGAACGGTGATGCGTCGCATGTGACTGTCAGCGGGAGGGTCTCGTTGTATTGGATGAAGACGGCATCCGATGTGAGTAGGTCCTTGGTTTGGTTGAAAGCGGCTTCCTCTCGTTTCCCCCAGGTCCAGGTGGCTGTTTTATCGAGCAGCCTATGCAATGGTTCCGCCGCGGTCGCCTTTTGGGGTAGGAAAACATTGTAGAAATTAATCAGTCCAAGAAATGCCTGCAATTCAGTTTTGTTCCTTGGTCTGGGGGCTTCTTTGATGGCTCTGATTTTTTTCTCGGTTGGGTGAATGCCGTGCCGGTCTAGGAGATATCCTAGGAACTCGACCCTCTCCATATACAGCTGGCATTTTTCTTTTTTGACTTTAAGCCCGGCCTCTTTGAATTTTGTTAGTACCTCCCTCAGGCGACCCTCCAGTTCTTTTTGGTTGGTTGCTGACACCAGTACGTCGTCGAAGTAGGGCACCACCCCCTTGATTCCTTGTAGGAGTCTCTCCATGAGGCTCTGGAAGATTCCTGGGGCCACGCTGACTCTAAACTGGAGTCTCTTGCAGCGAAAAGCCCCCCGGTGGGTTACTATGGTCTGCGCCTCGGCGGTTTCTGCGTCGACCGGTAATTGTTGGTAGGCTTGTGCCAGGTCGAGCTTCGCAAAAACCTTGCCTCCCCCCAGTGAGTGTAAGAGGTGCTGCACTACTGGGACGGGGTAGGCGCTTTGTTGTAAGGCGCAGTTTAGGGTGGCCTTATAGTCCCCACAGATTCTCACCGACCCATCAGGCTTGACTGGGGTGACTATGGGGGTCTCCCACTGGGCGTGATCAGTTGGCTCTAGGACCCCTTGTTTGATGAGCTTGTCTATCTGCTCATCGATCTTGGGCCGGAGTGCGAAAGGTACCCGCCGTGGTTTTAGGCGTATCGGGGGGACGCTGGGGTCTAGACTGAAGGAAGTAGGGGGCCCTCGGTACTTGCCTAGGGTGCCGTCGAACACTTCCTGGAAGTCCCTTGCGAGTTGCTCTTCCCAGTCTGCCTCTGCGACGTGGTCGATGCCCGTCACTTCGATTCCGAGCGGCGCGAACCACTGTAGTCCCAAAAGGCTGGGGAGGTCTCGGTCCACGACCGTCAGGGGAAGCTTTGCTGTGCGCCCTTTGAATGTTACTTTGAAGTGTCCTGTTCCGACTACCGGGATGCGGTTCCCTTGGTAGTCTTTAAGGATTAACTTCTGGCTTTCCAGCCCCCTCTTGTGGATTTCAGGCACCAGGCGCTTGATTTCCCGCCATGCAACCATGGAGAGGTAGGACCCGGAGTCCACCTCCATTTTGCATGGCTTGCCCTCGATGCCCACTTCCACGTATACCTTTCGGGCGTCTGCGCTTGATGAATGGCCGATGACAACCGTCTGGTGGGTCTCCTCTCTCCTCCAGTTCTCGCCGTCCCGTCGGCCCCGTCCGTCCCGGTTCCAACGACTCTCGGCTTGTCGGTCCCTGGGCCTGGGGGGGGGTGCCATCTCGTCTCCGGTCGCTGTTGTCTCGTCGTCGGGGGCTGTAGGCTTTCTTGAGGCGGCAGACTCGGGCGATGTGGCCTCTCTTATCGCAGTGCCGGCAGATCGCGTCGAAAAACCGGCACTCCGATCGAGGGTGGTCGCCTCCGCACCCAGCACATTGGGGTCCCGACTTACGACTCCGTCGATCGCGCCGGTCCCCTTCTGTTTGGAGTCGATGGATGTCCTCCTCTTCATCCGTGGTGTCGGAGGCGGAGTCGAGGTCGCCATGGTGGGTGGTGGTGGTTTCTCGGCGGCTTGCTTCTGGACGCGTCTCGGTTGTCGTACTCGCCTCGGAGGTTGCAGCTCGGTCCCCGGTGTCCGGCCTCCGCATTCGAGCCGCCGATTTCCGGGTTGCCTCGGCTGCGGTGGCTTCGGCAAGGGCGTCAGCGAGGGAGATGTCTCCTTTTGCCATCAGCCGGCTTTGTAGGACCGGGTCTTTGAGGCCGAGGACGACGCGGTCTCGTAGCGCCTCGTCCATATCCGTGAAACCGCACATGCCCCCTAGATTCCGTAGGTCTGCCACGAAATCACTGATGCTCTCACCCGACTTCTGGTCCCTCCGGTAGAAATCGTGCCGCCTGATGAGATTGGGCACGGCGGGAGCATAGTGGCCTCGGAGCAACGGTTCGAGGTCAGTCCAGTCCATCGCCTTCACGTCCTCGGGTTTCGCAAGGGCTTTCGCCATCTTAAACACTGCGGGCCCACAGTGTGTCAGGAAAACAGCCCTTTTTTTCTGCCCGTTTGCGTCCTTGAGGTTGCTACTCTCTAGGAACATCAGGAACCAATCAATGTACGATTCCCAGTCCTCAGTAGCTTCGTTAAAGGGTGCGGGCGGTGCGAGGCTGGCCATCTCGTCGGTCTCGTTCCCTCAGGACCACCTGCTCAGTGGGGATCAGTTGCGGAATCCCACCTTCGTCGCCAGTGTCGTGTCCGTCACAGGGAAAGGAGACTTGGGAGCCAGTGACTTAGTTCAGCTCTTTATTAAGTCCCGAGATCGGCTCGGGCTCCAGTAGAAAAACGGCGGCTTTTATTCCCTGGCCGCGGCGGCCGCGGCCAATGGCACCGCTTCGAATCTCCCGCAATTAGTTTCCACCAATCGCGGGGATTCGCGGCGGACCAATCAGTGCGGCTCGCTCGGCCAATCAGGTTGCCGTGCGCTCTGGCCAATCACGGCGCGGTGTTTGCAAGTATGTTAAAGTATGTTAATACAGAACACTTATGGTCAGTTTGAAGGGGTCTATCATAATCACCACAAGTTTTTTAGGAAGCAAATCTTTTTTGGGAAAAAAGACTTGATCCACTACAATAGAACAGAAACCAACACCTAATGAAGACATTTCCAAGGAGAAAACTTTAGCCTGCAAGTAACCTTTTCATGCTTGGCCCTGGGTTGTGTTTAGCTATTTCACTGTTTTGAACCATAATGCAATAAACATGCTGCCTTAATTAAGCACTGCAAAGAGATTTCATCCTCACTGCATTAACATAAAACACCTGACTGTATTAGCCCAAATCAGTCCGTTGCAGTATCACAACACTGAAGGTTAAGGCCCATAATCCACCACCCTGCTCTGCGGGGAGCTGGTAGATAGACAGGTTGTGGCTTCTCTACCCTAGCGTAGCTGGGCTGGAGAATTCTGGGAGTTGGAGTCACACAAGTCTTAAAGCGGCCAAGTTTGGAGACCCCTGGCCTAGAGGAAGCACGCTGGAGGCAGCATTTGGACCGTTGAACTCAACAGGTGTAGATCAAGGAATTAAACGCCGCTTCTCAAACTTAGCGACTTTGAGTGGACTTCAACTCCCAGAATTCCCCCCAAACGCTGCCCGGATCCGTTGACTCCGCCCGGAGCTCCACCTACTCCCATTCTCCGAGATTATAATATTTGCATATATTTCCGTTGCACCAATCAATGGCCACGCAGCCCGCATGAAAGCGCCCCTCCTTACCGCGAGCAGAGTACGCAGGCGCAATGTATCCCGCAAGCTTTTTGAGGAGATGGCGCCCAATCATAGGCAACTTCCCGCCGTCGTACTAAGGTGATTGGGCGAAAGCCGCCGACGCCACCTGTGGGACGGGCCGTCGGCCCAATGGCCAGGCGCGCGGCTGCTGGGTCGGGCGCCTGCGCAGGAGGTGCCGAGCGGCGTGATGGCTCCGAACGCGGAAGGCGGGCGGGACACGCTGGGACGCGGAGCCCGCAAGGGCGTCCGGGCGCTGCTCCTGGGGCCGCCCGGGGCAGGGAAGGGCACTCAGGTGAGCGGGCTGGCTCGGGGGGCGAGGCCCTGGCGTTCCCCGACCCGCCTTGGCAGAGACCCGCCGGCAGCCGCCACCTCGGCGGAATCCCCCGGTCCGGCTTGGAGGAGGGTCCGCTCGGGTCCTGCGAGGGAGCCGATCCTCTGGCCGGTCGGGAGCTCTCGCCGCCCGTTCCCGACCCCAGGCCCGGCCGGCGGGTGTCGGGAACGAGGTTGGGGTCGGTCGGTCGGTCGGTCGGTGGGCCGCCCGGCTAGTTTCTGCGGGGAACGTGTGTGTGTGTGTGTGTGTGTGTGTGTGTTGAGAGACGCCGCCTCGCGCCAGGCGGTTGCTCGAAAAAGTCCTTTCGGGGTGCGGGTGGGGGGGTGATTTTGGGCCTGCGCTGGTGTGTTTCTCGTGCTGGCTGGGGGGATTCTGGGGGTGGAAATCCAGGGGTCTTAAAGTGCACGGGGTTGAGAAACGGTGGCATAGGCCAGGGGTCTCCAACCTTGGCCCTTTTGAGGCTGGTGGACTGCAATTCCCAGAATGCCTCAGCCAGCAAAGCATTCTGGGAGTTGAAGTCCCGAAGTTTTAAAGGGGCCAAGGTCGGAGACCCCTGGCCTAGACCATGGCGGATAATTCCAGACAGGGTTGCGGTGCAATTACAATTGCCAAAAACCCTTAGGAGGATGCACCCCGTCTTCCAGGTCAGTTTGCTGAAACCCGAACATACGTCCCACTTGCCCCTCCAGTTCCTCTTCTGATTGAGGGCGAGCAGCATTTTGAGATGAAAGAGAGTTTGGACTCCAGGAAACAAAGAGGAAGACTCCAATATTCAGTGGTTTGGAAGCATTTCCCTCCCCCTCAGTTGGAAGGGGTGAACAAAAGTGATGTTCAAGCCTCTAAGCTTATACGGGCGTTTCCTTCTAAACATCCTGACAAACCTTAAATATTGTTACATTTAATATTCTGTCTGTGAAAATTTAATTTTAAAGAGCAGAATAAAAATGTCTTCTTCCAGTTCACCGTCTTACAAGTGTTTGCCCTGAGCTCAAGTCTGCAATGGCATTTTGTGGGCAGAGCTGCTCTTGGGGAGGCCACTCCCAAGTGAAGCGCCTGCCCTTTGTCCTGGCAGGCAGGGCAGCCCGGCGTCTCTTGCGAAACAGGCTTCTTTCGCCCATCTCAGCAAGGTCTCTTCAGGGACAAGAGAGCTCTTGAAAGTTGGGCAAAGGTTGCCCCGGAGCACAGCTGGGCACGGCGGGGATGCACAGGCTCCCAGACCCGCCCTTTGGCCCCAGCCCAGCTTCAGATGCTGAAGGACCCCATGCTTGGGGGTGGGCAAGCGGTGCAAAGCAAAGGAGGTGGCAGCGTCTGATTTCCTTGCCCCCAAATCTGGTGGGGGGTGGGCGACAGCATACAGTCACTCTCGAGTTACAACAGTTCACTTAAATTGCGACACAGCCCGCCTGCAGTTCTTACGACACAGTCCTGAGGTTACAAAGGCTGCAATACCACAATGGTCATTCACCCTTACAAAAGACCGCAGAGGCACGAGCTGCCTCCTCTCTGCCGCAGTTTCTTTGCCTGCTTCTGAGCGTTTGCAGAGAACAGGGGCCTAAAGTACCGCAAGATCCGTAGTGCAAGATGTCGTGCTACTGATCTTGTGTGATTTTTGCACATCTTTAGGCCTCTGTTCTCTGCAGATTGAGGCCTGGGCTTCATTCTTGCTGGCAAAGGTTTTTTGCAAAGATGGATGGAGACACAAAAACTCTCTGTAGGCTTTGACAACCCTTTGCCGAAGTGTTTGCCAGCTGATGGGACGTTTTGAGGCAGCGCAATTTTGCTGCCCCAAAGCCTCCCATTGGCTTGGCAAACAGTTTGGGCGCCAAGACTGGAAGCTTCTGGTGGCTGTGATCTTGCGCAACTTCAGGCACCCATCTGCTTTTCCAGATAACGAGTGCCTGAAGTCGCCACGAGATCACAGCCCCCAGAAGCTTCCAGTTTCTTCGCCCAAACGGTTTGCCAAGCCAATGGGAGGTTCTGCACTGCCCAAAGACACCTGTCGGCATGCAAACGTTTTGTGTGCCGAGGCTGGAAGCTTCTGGGGGTTGTGCTTTTACTCGGCAGAGGCTGGAGAAGGGACAGCTCGCTAGATCTTCGCAGGAGCAAAGTGACCCAGAGTGGCAGGATGGTGGGGGGAGGAGAAAACAATTGTGGGGAGCATGAGGTGTCTCAGTGGGTGAGTCGTAAGCAGGTGGCCTGTTCCATCACTGGCACACACCCCCGTCCTTCCCCACCTTGAGATATTTCATGTGCATTTAACTACCTGTGAATTCAGTTAGCGAATGCATGGGCAAAAGCAGGGGGTTTTCACGTTCATTTTATGCAATTCACTCCAACGTAATCCCGGGATTACTAATGTCATTGGCAGGATCCATTGCATTCGTAAAGGACTATCTGTACTTCGTTGTCCTGACCTGCTGAGGACCGGGAAGGGGGAGTAAATTTATATCCCTCAGAACTTCTTGAAGACTTTTGACAGAAGGCTCTATTATTGAACCTCGTGGCTGACTGGTCAAACAAAGCTTTAATACTTCCTTGGATATTTATTTCCTCAAAGGATTCTCTATAGCCCATAAAAATGGAAATCTTTAGCGGAGAAGGAATAATGAAGTATTCTTTAATATTTTCTTTTTTAATGGTTAAGATGCAAAAGAAGTTAATCTGTGTTTCCTCATATTAAATCAAGAAACCATATTTAGTTCAACAACGTATAGCTCCATTTGCTACAAAAACTAAAGCACAATAGGAGTACAGGTAGTTCTGACTTAAAACTGATTTCAAAGTTACAATGGACCTGAAAAAGCGACTTAAGACCTGGATTTGAACTTGCTCCCTCCCCTCCCTCCCAACCCCCCACCTCCGCCTGTGGTCACATTACTGTATTTTAGGTAACCAGCCTGAATTTACGGCTTAATAGAACTACATCTACATGGAGGGAAGTAAGCAGTGGGGGATTGTCTTAGGTCCAGTGTTCTTCAATATTTTCAAAAATGACTTAGATGAGGTAATAGAAGGGGAATTCATTATATTTGCAATTGACACCAAGCTGGCAGGAATAGGCAGCACCCCAGAAGACCAGCTCAGGATGCAAAAAGATCTCGATAGAGTTGGTTTCTGGGCCCTCTAAATAAATGGAATTCAGTGGTGAGAAAAGTAAGATTTTATACTTAGGTAACAAAAACCAAATATACAGGTATAGAACATATACCTGGTTCAATAGAAAGATGTTGGAGTCCTATCATTTAAATATGAGCCAACAGTCTTGGGCAGCAGCCAAAAAGCCAACAGAGTCCTAGGCTGCATTAACAGGGATAGAATCCCAGTCACGTGAAATGTTAGTGCCACTCTATAATCCCTTGGTAAGACCATAGTTGGAATATTGTACCCAGTGTTGGTCACCTTGATTTAAAAAGGTATTGAGACTCTAGAAAGAGTATAGAGTAGAACAATAAAGATGGTTTAAGGTCTGGAGGCTAAAACATAGGAAGAATGTTTCCAAGAATTGGGTATGTCTGTCTAGTTTAGATAAAAGAAGGACTAGGGGTGACATGATAGCATCTTCCAATATTTGAGGGGCTGCTGCAAAGAGGAGGGGGTCAATTTATTTTACAAAGCAGCAGAGGGCAGGACAAGAAACAATGGATGTGTCAGAGTGTTTGCAAGCGTGACTACTATTGTGAGACAACCCAGGAGCACAACACAGCACACAGAGGCTTTGTCTTTTAATAGTGGTTTATATACAAGACTGCTATATACATACATACATACATATGTGTTAGGCACATACGAGGCAATCCGTCTTTATTACTCTGCACTGAGAACTATAATGGAGATAGAACAGAGAGAGAGAAAGGGATGCCCTCTCATGGCCACCTTTATATAGACATCTTAAAGTGGCAATAACCCTGCTGACCCAACCTCACTCTTAAAGTGGCAATACCCTGCTGACTCATTCTCATTACATCAGCATTTACAGCAGCCTTACAACAGCTGGTCAGCTATTAAATCTCCCAATACCTTAACAGGATGGAAACTAATCAAGGCGAGAGGCAATCTGGAATTGAGAAATTTTCTAACACTGAGAACAATGAACCAGAAGTTGTGGGTGCTCCATCAGTGGAGGGTTTTAAGGACAGACGTTTGTCTGAAATGGTCTAGTGCCTTGGTGGTGAACCTATGGCATGTGTGCCACAGGTGGCACGCAGAGCCCTCTCTGGGAATGTGTGCCGTGGCCCCAGCTCCGCCGCACATGTGTGCACACCTCCCGCCAGCCAGCTGGACTTCGGGTCTGCCGCGCATGCGCAGGGGGTGAATGCAGGGTGGCACAGGTGCGTTGCATTTTGGGTATGCGCATGTGTGTGCACTTTGGGCACTTGGTGCCAGAAAGGTTTGCCCTCACTGGTGTAGGTTCTCTTGCTTGAGCAGAGGGTTGAATTCGAAGACTGCCGGGGTCCCTTGCAGCTCTGGTTAAACTCCTGTTGGTTCACCTCTTTGTTTTCAGCAAAAACTGCCCCACCCTGAACCATGGAGTTCGCTTCATAATGAAGATTTTTAAATTGGGCACAGTTATGTGGTAACCTGTTTTATGACCGTCATGACTTATGACCAAAATTGCACGTTCAATTACGGCTGTAAGCTGAGGCTGCCTGTGGGTAACCGCTGACTCTTCTTTCTTGTCCAGGCTCCTCGGCTCGCAGAAACGTATTGTGTGTGCCACCTGGCCACGGGGGACATGTTGAGGGCGATGGTGGCTTCGGGCTCAGAGCTGGGGAAGAGGCTGAAGGCGACAATGGATGCAGGGAAGCTGGTGAGTGGGAAGAGTGGCTCCCCCGGGGTAGCTTTCGGGCTGCGCTTTCCAGAAGTTCAAGAAGAAGAACCCTCTGTCTGCTGAATGTTGAGATTCCTGTCCCGTCACAATGTCCCCCAAGTAACGATGGGGACTTGCCAGGCAGGGAGCAGCATCACGATCTCATTGCATGGTGACCTGATGTGCAAGAAACCATGGCTTCTCCAGATGCCTCTGAATGGACCAGAATCCCATCAGGTCCAACTCCGGAAGGGGCCTGAGATGGGGTGGGGTGGGATGTTGGCTTGCTCTGTTCCGGGAGTGTCCTCTGCTCCTTGAATTTGAGGCTTAAACATTGGAAATCCCCCCCCCCCCCAGGCAGGTTGAGCAAGGTCATTGGAAATCAGCTGCGGCCTTTCTCTGGAGAGGATCCAGGTCACTAATCATAAAATCAATTAAGAAAATGGAGTGGGACTTGAAAATCCTAATTATACTGCTTTTCTATTTTAGGGGGTTTATTTTTAGCCATCCCAACTCTGGAAATGTAATATTGTTTTCTACATTTCCTTCTCCACTTAGAGCCTGCGGTGCAGGTTATTTTCGTTTAATGACAGCATTTGGGACGGGCAACCCCATGGCTAAGCCCAGCGTTACGTGGCCGTGCCAACTTAGGGCAGCAGCTGCGGCAGTTGTGGTTGGCATCCTTAGGCCTGTCGTCATGAGATGCCATTTGCCACCTGAATTGACTGAGGGAAGCTAGCAGTGGAAGTTGCCAGGGGCAGGACGCTGCCACCCTCCTAATTGCGAGCTGTTGCCAAGGTCCTGTCACAATTGGTGATTGATTATGAGGGCCCTGCAACAGCTGCAACTGACGGGGACCAGACAGTCCGTCTCCCTGTTTAGTGCTGCTTAATTTCAAATAGTCGCTGAGTGAGTGTTTGCTAAATGAAGCCTATCTGTAAAGGCAGATGGTGTAGACCAGGGGTGTCCAACCTTGGCAACTTTAAGACTTGTGGACTTCAACTCCCAGAATTCCTCAGCCAGCTGAGGAATTCTGGGAGTTGAAGTCCACAAGTCTTAAAGTTGCCAAGGTTGGACACCCCTGGTGTAGAGCTATGAGGAATAATCCATGGAAGGGAGATCTGCTTCCATACATCACCTCCATCATAAATACTTCTTGCTTTTAAACCTGGCCTTTGGTTTTTTTTTCATGTGAAGTATCTCTGCAATATTTCTTACAGGGTTTTGCAGGAAGCCTATAATGGCTGTTTCTTATTTATGGCCTTCATTTGAAAGTGTCAGTGTATCATCATTAGAAAGTGTGGCTGATGTGGGTGGGTGGACTACATCAGGTTTGGGAGGTGCAGCTGCCTGTCCGTCCTGGAGAGCTTCTGAGGGGGTGCTGAACCGGGGGACGTCTAAGCCCCGGAGCCCCTTTTCTGATAAGGGGGCCATTTCTGCATTTGGCTCAGTCCATGGGGAAGAACGGCAGCAGTTTTGAAGTCCGGGACAGAAACACACTGTAGAGTCAGCCCATCAGAAATCTGAGCGACCTGAACCTTGAAAGTTGATCCCTTTGCAAAAGGCCATGGGTGGAGAACAGAATCTGGCTACAAAGGCCAGTGATGGCCAGGATCACCTCACAAGCACAGTTTTCTAGTGGGTTTGAGTAGACCCAGCAGCTGCTGCATCCAGTGGGGTTCCCCCCTTTTCTCTTTTATCAGGTGAGTGATGAGATGGTGATGGAGCTGATTGAGAAGAACCTGGAGACCCCCCCTTGCCAAAATGGCTTCCTCTTGGACGGCTTCCCTCGCACTGTGCGACAAGCGGAGATGGTAAGTTGTTCTCCTTGGGCTCAGGCGTCACTGGTGCCCGGGGCAAAGTGGACGGCCAGAACTTCAAGGGAGGCACATCCAGGGAGGAGGAGGGAGCCTCCGTCCTGTCAGAAGGGCCAAGAAGGGAACGTGCTCTGCCTTTGACACCCCCCCACCCCCCACCCCCAGTTGCCGGCTGCACATGTCTGCCTTGATCCAGAAGAGAATCTGAGAGCCTCGGTGCCAATTAGCTCACTGGTTTTGCCTCCTTTTCACAATTTTACAGCTGGATGAGCTGATGGTGAAGAGGAAAGAGAAACTAGATTCGGTCATTGAATTCAGCCTTGCTGACTCCTTGCTCATCCGGAGAATCACTGGACGGTAACTGTCATTTTCCTTGGGGGATGTTGCTGTCTTGGGCAGCTTGAGTAGGTTCCCTTTCTTCTTTATCAGGTGAGTGATGAGATTGTGGTGGTCCTACAAAGCCAGGAGCAGAGTGGGTGGAAATTTCTTGCAAAGGAAAGTTTGCCCATTTAGAAGAAGCCTACTTTGTAGCCCAAGGGGAAGAGATCAACCCGATGTGGTCAGTAACCAAATAGGAAATACCTCCAATCTTACCTGGGGAAACATACGCTGCCAATGCAAGTGGTGCGTATGTGTGTGTGTGAGTGTCTGCTCAAAGAAAATTCTCCCTTCTCAGTGGCCATCACTGCCTGAATTTTACCAGAGCTGCAGTGATGTTCCCAACGTATTATTCCCTCTTTGTACCCTTCTGTTTCCTTTTCATTTATGAAAAAATTCTTTCCTTGCAAATCCGCAAAGTTTTTAAGTTTTGGTGCTTGTAGACTACCTTTGCCCCATGTAGTTGCTGCAGATGGAAGATGGCTGAGGCTTTTCTGTGTTTCCCTCCCAGGCTAATCCACCCAGGAAGTGGCCGTTCCTACCACGAGGAATTCAACCCACCCAAGGTCCATATGAAGGATGATGTAGGTGTCTCTCCCTTTGGGGGTTTGTATTAAAATGCTTCTAGTTGATATAAAGCCTTGTGGTATCTGTGGGTGCTGGTGGGCTTCTAGAATTGGATTCTATATTTGTTTCTAGCTGCTTTGCTTAAGATTTCCATCTTCATTGCTTTGAATGAATCATTCAAAACCGAGAGGCAATTCTCACAGATTGATAGCTTTTGAATCGATGCTACAACGGGGGTGACTTATGCAGTAACATTGATTGGCACAAATTGTGCTTTTCAAACTGGGGTAGCGATCCATGTCAAAAGAGAGTCACTTCAACCTTTTCTTGCTGTGGGGGAGGCAAACACGTAAAGTAACCGAATATTCCCTGGGTGATTTTGAAGAAAACCTTGGAAATGCAGATGCTATGAAATCGGGATTGTGCAGAAATTACAATGTACAGTAAGTCTTGTGGTTGGGGAATGCTGGGACTTGAAGTCCACAGATTGTAAAGTTACTAAGTTTGTGAGACACTAATCTAGAGTATTTGGTAATCTGCCATTGCCTTTCAACCCCCAACGATGATTAGCAAAATCAGGATGAATATTCAAAATAAGTCGTTAATTTTGAAAAGCAAGACGCAATTGGTGTATGAGACAGATGTGATTTTTACATAGACAGCTCAACTTTGGTGCAGGTTTCTCTGTATTTTCGGGTAAACTTAAAACCTTGTGCGCAGAATTCCTCCCCTCCCGGAGTCGTCGTGGGGAGCAAGGCCCCACAGCACCACAGAAGTCTCCCACCCCCATCCCTGCACTATCCGTGTCAGCAGGAAAGAAATAGCAGGTGTCTTTCCAGAGGATAATTTCTTTCTCTTTCTTAATTCCTCCTTATCTTATGCTACCCAGAAGCATCCTGTCTCTGTGTCTTCTAAGGCTCGGGACAGGATTCCCTGAGAGTTTGCCTTTTCCCAAGAGTCTCTTACCTGTCCCACCTGATCTAGCCGATTGGGAATGCTGCAGATCCCCTCGGCTGAAAAGCGTTGGCTGGCAGGAAGTAGAAGGTGGGCTTTTTCCTGCTCAGTGGAACATCCTCTCCTGGGAGACTAGAAGGGCGCCAACCCTGTTAGTCTTTTGGAAGGCCCTAAAACCTGGCGGTCAGAGGTGTCGGCTGAATGCGCTAAGGTCCCAGCTTCCTTGCTGTGCTGCAGCTGGCTTAAGGAACCTGGCTGTGGTGTATATTGACTTTGGCTGCTTTTTATTGTATTCGGACCTTTTTAGTGTTTTAATTTCAAGGTGTTTTTTCAAATTGCAAGCTGCCCAGACTCTTTGACTGAAATGGGTGGCTATAGGAAATTCATTTATGAACAAAGGAAAATGCCAGAGGTGGGAGGAAGATCAGCCGGCTCCCTTCTCTGGATTGCTTTCAAGCCAGGCCTTGGGAGAGGCTGTCCAGTGGTTATACATGCAGGCCTTGGCACACCACCTTGCGGTGCATTCGCTGCTGGGAGGTGAACGGTTCCAGTTGGTTGGTCAAACAAGATGCAGGTAGTTCACAAGTTATGACCGTAATTGAGCCTGGCAATTGCAGTTGTAAGTCATGACGGTCATAAAGAGGGTCTCCATCTTCTTTGAAGAAGATACAGAATACTATCAGACATGGCATTTATGTTATCAATGGCTGGAAAAATGGTAAAGATTCAGAATATAATTGATATTGTTAAGGAAACAAAATAACATGGTGTTTATTAAGCACTAATTAAACGTAATATAAAATAAAACTATAAAAAAATCAAGAGAGCCATCATGTGACTGAACCCAATCTTGCCACATTTTGAGGGGGCAGTCATTAAATGAATGCTGCAGTCATTCATCAAGTGCCCAAGTCATTAAGCGAGCCCACTGTCCATTATGGGCTGGTTTCATTGGATCCAGGAAGTAAATTCTGGTTTCTGGCAAAAGCATCAGGAATTGCAGTGAGGTGACTGTGGGCACTACACCTGTAAAGGAGGGCCGGTTGCTGAATGCCCAGAAAGCAGCCATGTGATCACAGAAGGTTGAAATCGGGCCATAAGTAGCTTTTCGGGGGTCTGTCATAACTTCGGATGGCCACTAAGGGACTGGTAATGGGTCAAGGACTGCCTGCAAGAGTTGTCAGTTCAACGCCAGCAGTGGCTTCATGCCTGGCGGAAAAGAGGGCCGCAGCGCTTGGGGGTCGTCTCATCAGCCTGGACAACAGCTCAGTGGGGCTTTGCACCTTCAGCTGCTTGGGGTGGCTTGAGGTCCATGTCGCGAAGGGTCGGCTGCGAGGCTTCTCCAGCTCAGGCGGGTCCTTGGCTGGTGCCCAGGCTGACAAATTGCTCCCTTTCCAGGTCACTGGGGAATCTCTGATCCGCCGGTCAGACGACAACGAAGCCGCGCTGAAAACACGCCTGAAGGCTTATCACACCCAGACCACACCGCTGGTGGACTACTACTCCCGGCGTGGAATCCATACAGCTGTTGATGCCTCCCAGTCTCCAGATGTGGTTTTTGCCAGCATCCTGGCAGCTTTCTCAAAAGCAACAAGTAAAGACCTGGTTATGTTCATATAAGGCTCTTCTCCTCCTTTCTCCTCCTTTCCTGTCCTCTGGGGTCAGCAAGAAAGAATGCCGTGGGAGTAGGAGCAAAGCAGTTGTGGAGAGAGGCTGTACAAGCAGTCCATTAAACAAACATGTGACTCTTCATTTGTAATGTATATTTCTTCTTTTAATATACGGGAACTCTGGGTTGTGTGTGCGCGCAGTTGGCCAGCAGGGGGCGCACTGCACTTCAGGCCGCCTAGAGACTGGAAACCTGTGCAGGCAAAGGCACTTGACATACCTGCAGAATTGGTTAAATCAGGAAATGGCTGCAGTTTCTGCTTTTCCGCCTACGGACCCACCTTTACAGCAGTCCTGAAAGCCCCACCTCAGTAGGAGCGGGAAGGAAAGTGGCTGGCCACAAGTCCCGGCTCTAACTACAAGCATGGAAGGCTGCCTCAGCTTAAGAGGGAGGCTATGGAAGCAGATTTGTTCGCTTGTGAGATTCACTGAGGTTTGAATTCTCCTTTTCTGCCTGGGCCAAGTGGAACTGACTGGCACAGCATAAGATGCTCCAGGGCAGCAGCGTTTGTCCCACGCAATCATAAGCTGGAGATGAAAGGAAGAGGTTTTGTAGGCAGCCCAGAATTCAGAGGCTGCTTTATCTATCTCATTTTTTAAGAAATAAAAATGCATGCGGTTATGGTTCTTTAGAAGAAGGGACTTGGAGATGGGAAGTGGGTGGTAACATTTCTAAGGGCTTGAAGAGTAAAGTAAAATGGGGAAGTTGGTAGAAAATTGCCCAGTCTGGACAGTTTCTTTAGGGTGGAGAGTTCAGATTTTCTTCATGTGGAATTCCTGTGAAGAAGAATAGTTTCTGAGGTCAATGATCAATCTGGGAATTCCACATTGGTTATGTGACGTCATCACATAACCCAGGGGCCCCCAATGTTGGCCACTTTAAGACTGGTGGATTTCAACTCCCAGAATTCTCCAGCCAGCATCTGGGAGTTGAAATCCATCAGTCTTAAAGTGGCCAACTTTGGGGACCTCTGACTTAACCAATGCAAGAAAGCTGGCTCATGGTTTCTGAGCTGCATCGAGGCCAAGCGGCCATGGCACGGGGGTCAAAACCACAGCACTGGCCAGTCTTCCTACTTGGGTCTTTGGTTGAGCCTCTTGTGCCCCATTCTGGGGTGCCACAGCTTGCCCCTGGAACGGAATGGCTGCTGGCTGCCTGCCTAATGCCCTTTTGTTGGGTGGGCCAAACAGACCCTTTTCCCTTTTCTGTTTTTGCCTCTTGGGATTTTTGGCTAAGAGCCTCCGCTGCCCTTGAGCCAGCCTGGGCTCTATGCTCGGTGGCCTTGAGAGGTGCTCCAGTTCCTCACGGCCAACCTGGCAGCCTCTGTGAACAAGCAGGGAAGAGGGAGCTCCTGCACTCTGCCTCCCTCTTGGAGGTTCTTGTTGGGCTGCTTTGGTGCAATGTTTCTTGGCTTCCCTGTACTTCAGGCTGCCTGAGAGGATGGCTAGCAGCTGGTTGGCTCTGCAGCTGCCTTTGGGGGGGTCAGAAGGGCAGCCAGGTTTTAGGAGGATGGAGAAGCGGAAGAAGCATTTCTCTCTTGGCTGACCTTTGTTTCCCTTGTCTTCCTTTCTTTTTTCCTCCTGCGATGTATGTTTCTGTGCTTCTCCGAGAGTAAATTTCTCCCTTTGAGGAATTCTCAGCAGCAAAAGCCACAAAAAACCATCACCACAAACATAACAGGTCACAGAGACCCGTTCTGCAGCCTTTCAAAGAAAAGAAGGCAGTGAATTAACATGGCTACTAGAAATTACTTGCTTTAGCGACATATTTGCACATTGGTGAACATTCACAACTTTACAATTGCAGGTGTGATGGATGGCCACATAAAATCATATAATAAATATATAAAGCTATCTTGTGCATCTTAAGGGTTCCGGCTCCCAGAATAGTTAACTGGCAGGTATTCCATTCCCCACAAATGTTCAAGAAGGCCATGATTTGGGGACCAAAGGCAGCTGATTAAGATAATCAAAACACTTCAAAATTTCTACTCCCAATTTTACTTTTGCTTTTCTCTGAGCTTTTAAAGAACATTTACATTTCAGGTGAGTAAGCAGCAGTCTTTGAAGAAGAGAGTCTTCAACCGTTTAAAGTGATCTGGTCCCCATTTCCACAGATTCGTTGGCAAGATGGGTTCTCTTTAAACCAGGATGTCTACCTTGGGAAAGGTTCTCCTGCCCCCCAGGGAGGAGGAAGCCCATGTGAGGCAAGGAGCAAGCGCTGCCTTCTCTTGGCCCTTGCCTTGGTCTCGGGGAGTGAAGGCAACACCTGTTGTGGCTAGGAGGCTCTGCTGCAATGAAGCAGAGCTGGCAAGAGGAACTCTTCCCCAGCTTGGGTCCCTCTGGAAGTTTTGAGGCTCCAGGTTCCCAGGTCTTGGTAACTTTGGCAACACTGGGAATTGCAGTCCCAACTTGCTGGCAAGCCATATTAGATTAGAGAGAGAGAAAAAGACGGTTATTGCCTTGTTGGGCCTCCTGGCCAGGATTCTGAGGAGGCCTCTGTTGAGCATAAATGCCATTTTTTGCCAAATAAAGGCTGTGCTATAATTCATGGCAAAGAGGGAGCTGGGGCTGTTCAGCCAAAGGGCAGCTTAGTGACCCCCTCCCCGACATCCTTGCTGCCAATTGCTTGTTGTGTGTGTTACAAGGCGCCCTGAGATAAATGCAAGAGCAGGCAGGGCCTCGTTGCTTAGGAAGAACAGAGCTATGCAAGCGTCTGCTTTGCCTCTAAGCTGCACGTCTCTCCTGCCTGTCTGCCTGCTCTGAAGTCTGGTTTGTTATATGAGTTTTTAAGGATTGTTTCTCTTCTTTGTATTTGTCTTCATTCCAGCCGGGTGATTCCAGCCAGCAGACAGCCCACGACTGCATCAAGCACGCCCTGTCCAACAGCTGCCCCCCCACCCCCCAGCTTTGCTCTTGGAACGGAGGGTGGGGGGTGGGATGGAAGGCCTCGTCCAAAGAGGGAAGGAAATCGCCAGAAGTTGGGGTTCTCTCCAAAATTGCACTAAGGGGGGGAAATCCTGTTTTTTAAAGAAAAGCAAATCAGGAAGACAAGAATAAAATGTCACCGCAGGCTTGAGGGGCAGAGCACTTTCATTATGACATCAGTGATTTGTAATCTTTCAGAAAGGGAATTTGTAGCAGTTAGGGGAGCAGGGTCTCCCACTTGACCGCTGGGGGTGCCTTTTCTCCTGATGATTTCCAGGGTTCCGGATAGATGACACCTCAGCGCTGTTCCCCACATGCGCCTGAGGCTGCCGTGCAACGGAGCCTCTAACGCTGGGCCCACCCTTTGCCTCCTGCCCAGCTGGCTTCTCTCTGGGCTGGAGAATCCTGGGTGGGAAGATCTCTTTCAGCCACCAGGCTGCAGAGGCTTCCAGTAGGCAAGTCCATACAGGGACTCTCCTAGGAAGCTGGCTTTCAACGCCTGGGACAAGGGATTCTCGTCCTGGCAGCTTGGTGAGCTTCCAGCAGTTCATGAGGAAAGGCCTATTTTACGCTCTTCACAGGCAGGGATCAAAAAAAGCAAAAGTCTTTCTGGAAAGTTTTTAGTCACAGGCATTTGAAGCCTTTCCCTTTCTGAGGCCAACACTTTATTTTTTTCTTTGCACTTCATGGACCCTTCCTTCCTTCCTCCCTCAAACATTGAAGGCACAAAGCCAAGCACCTCCTACCTTGTCCCGCCTCTCAACCGGAGTGGTTGCCAATTTCCACTCGTTTGTTTTCCTTTCTCCAGGACTGCTGTGCAGCCTCAATAAAGTGGCTGTCAGTATTGGGCCTGAGCCATTGGGTGACTTGGTCTTGTCCCTGGGCTTTCGTGCAGAAAGGAGTGATGCCAGAGAGGCGCCCAGACGCTAAAATGGAAAGGGATGATCTTTTAAGCAGGAAGTTTAATTATGGGTGAAAAACTAATTCCAAGCCTTTTGATTATGATTCTCACCAAGAGAAAAGTTTCCAATTGTTTGGTTCACGATTCATAGAACACAGAACAATGGGGTCTTCTAATCTACCACCCCCCCCCCCCCCCCCCGCCGCCCAAACAGGAGACCCTGACATTCTGGACGGATGGCTCTCCAGCCTCCTTAAAAGCCTCCAGTGATGGAGCACCCACAACTTCAGGGGTCAAGTCGTTCCACTGATGAATTGTTCTCATTGTCAGGAAATTTCTCCTTGGTTAGTTTCCAACCATTGTTTCATTTATTGCCTTTTGGTGCTTTGGAATATAGTTTGTCCCCTATAGTAGCATTTACTGTTTACCCTAACCCTTCCTTTTAACGCCCCTGTCAGTGCTTCATCAGGGTGGAGTCAGGAGAACTGAATGGAGCTGAGCATTTACTGGCTGGATGCCCTTCCCTGACGCCTTCCTGGTGTTCACAGCAGATATATCCTAGGTAGCAGCAGATATTTTCTTTCTGCACCAGAGAGAGAGAAACCTCTGCTGCTACCTAGGATTGAGCTCACAGCCTCCTCCTTGTGAGGCAAGAGCTCCACCTCCAGGCCATCATGCCGCTCAAGTAGCACGCTGTCCTTAATTTTACGGTGCCTTTAAGGGTTGGGCATTCATTGGAAGCACCTCTAAACAAAGGCAGAATACTTTCTATGTGGCAGCATCTGAAAGTTGGAAACTTCTGCTCCTAAATGCCAGGAAAGCCTATCAAAAACCCACTCCACCCCCCCCACCCCCCGGCCTTGTGTTCTGTGGAGTTGTCATGGTCAAGCTGTGAAACCAAAGACCCCCTTCAAACTTTGTCTTGGTGATACATTTGCTGACCGAGAGAAAAGCCGTCTCCACCTCGGAGGGCCTGCTGGAAAGAGAAGGACAACATTCTGTGCAGTGGTTCTAGCAGGCTTCCCCAGCCCAGGGCCCTCTGGGTGTGTGGGACTACAACTCTTGGAATACCTAGCTAGCTCCTGGTCGTCGTAGCCTCGCCCATCAAAAAGTCATCAAAAAGCCTCACAGGTTGCAAGTCAAGAAACTCTGAGGATCCTATCTGGCCTTTTCTGCTTCCTTGTGGTTCCATCTCCTCCAAACCCCCCTCCTTCCAGCCCAGCTGTGCTCCGGGGGGATCACAGAGGGCTCAGTGTTTGGAGCAACCGTGAGCTTCCTGGCTTTTTCAACGTCCTTCCTGTATTTCCTGGGTGTGTGGATGGCAAAGGAGAGAAAGAGAGAGAGCCATTCCTAGCCTGGTTCCTCCCAGGACACCTGGCCTTTCTCATGTGGGTGGCAGAAAAACCTATTCCGCCTATACAAGTAGTTCGACAATTCATTTAATGACTATTTGAAATTATGACTTCAGTGAAAAATTGTGACTTGTAACCAGAGCTCACACTTACGACCATTGTAGGCACCTGATCAAAATTTGGGCATTTCATAACCTGCATGTATTTGTAATGATTGCAGCATTCAGGGGTCACAGTTGCTATCTGCAATTTTCCAGGGGGCTTCCAAAAATAAAGTCAATGGGGGAAGCTAGATTCATTTAATGACCATGACAAAAAAGTTAATGAAATTGGCCACAGCTTATCAACCACATCACTTAGTGGCTGGCCACAATTGTGGCTGTAAGTGAAGGATTACCTGCATTCAGGCAGCTGAAAGCACAGGCATATTTCCTGCTGGCGTCTACAGTTCAAGTTGCCCTTACAAACCCAGAGAGAGAATTCGTTAACATGGCTGATAGATCCCCAGCCTTACTTCCAGTAGCTGGGACTCCAGTCTGGCAGAATAGAGGAGCAGAGCGTAGCCCCCCCCCCCCCCCCCAGTGTGAGTCCTTTCATGCAGTCTTTAAGAAGCTCACAAGCCGCAGTTGCCAGAAGCGGTGATGATGCTGAGGACCAAAAGCTGGAATTCCCCACTTGTGCTGCCATAGCAACTGTTTCCATGGGAAATGGCAAACATGCGGCAGGGCTGGAAGGCGAGGGCACCATTGGCTGAAGAAGAAGCAGGAGGGGCTGGGGAGAAGGGGTGGCTCTTGAAAGCCAGAGCCATCAAGAGGCAGGTGACTAGTAAGCAGTGAGGAAAAACCTCCACTGTCTTTCCAACAGGGTGGATGCCCTGATTCTTCCCTGGTTTTTTTCTAGGTGTGTTTACAACTTTTCCCATCTTCAGCTTGGGCCATACAAATAGGGAAGACGTTTTAACACCCTGGAAGGCATCAGGTTACCAAAAAAATTAGGTGTTATCCAAGTTGCCTGTTAACCAGACTTCATCGCTCTTCCAACATTGCAAAATTCTCCCCTTTGTGGAGAGAACATTGTGATTAGCAGGTTAGTTAAGTTGGGTGACATGCTTGTTACACAATTGTACGCAGTCCTCAAAACTCGACTCAAGAAACAATTGATCAGTCCTTCCTCAGGAAACAAAGGAATACAATACTGAATGGGATGCCACAAGGTTCAGTGGTGGAGAAAATGTTTTTTAAATACTGTATGCATCTGGCACAAAACTGGGTGGGACAGGTAACAGACTAGGAAACAAAATTCAAAATCATCTTGATAAGTTACAGAAATAACTGAAATAACATTGAAATTTAATGGAGACAAACTAGTGCTTTATTCAAGAAATGAATGCAAAATACAGGATCAGAGATACGGCTTGTCAATACTTCTGGGGAAAAATGGTGCCATGGAGGAATGCTTACAATCTTGACCTCAGTTGTAATTGATAGCTCTTCCAAGGTGATTCTAATAATGTCTTTGATCCCATTCATCAACATCAGTTGTGTTCTTGCGTTGGCAGTTATACTTCTCAACCTTGCCAAGCATATTCATTTCACATCACATGACCAGAGTTTGAGTTCCTGCTTGCTGATCTTCACCTCAAGAACTTGGTCAGCCTTTATTTCAGATCAGTTCTGTCTATTTGCAGTTGCTATTCGTAATCATTAATAATCATATACATAGAAACTTATTTTGCTTATTGTCTAAATGCTTGGTTTTATCATAGTTTACCATTGGAAAAGCATTGCTTCAGTTCTTCTGATCTTTGTTATTGCAATGTCCGTGTTCTTGTCTATCATTGCTTCTTCCTCCTCTTCTAGCTGTCCCTCTTATGTATTTTTAAGCCCAAGACACAATACAACCTACCATGTTCATTAACTTGCTGTTATGCTTCACAAAGGATAATGGTTGATTTTTTAGTGGTTAACAATCTAGATTTTCATTTTCCATTTTTACTTTTATTAATAAACTCTTCTAAATTGTCTTTATTTCTTGGCTAACAAAGTGCTGTTGTCTGCATATCAATTTTTAGTTTCAATCTTCTGCATTCTGGCACAGTTCATCCAATGGCCTTGCTTTAGTTAATGATGCAAAATAAACTGCCACACATTCTCCATTTTCCTATCTCCGTTATCCATTGCACCTGTCATAACTAACCTTATAGCCTTCTGCCTTTTCTGAAGCCTATCTGTTCATTTGTAACATCACTCTCCACATATTCTTCAACCTTTCTTTGTAGGATCTGGACCAAAAATTATTTGTTTAAAAATGTGCAATATTTATGTAAGTCACACATTATTTTATAACTGCTTTTTTACAGCATTAGCAAGGCCCTTTTCTTCCAGTCTGAAGGCTACATAGTGTAGTCCCATATTTCTTGACACTGAATTGTTCGCACCTTAACTGATGCTTTTGTGCAGCTTTCATCATTGGTGGGTATTTTTGGGAGGTAATTACCTATACCTGGTGCTTTTCTATTTGTAGCTTATTGCTTATTATACTTTTCTTTGAGCCATGTTGGTTTCTGAATATATTTTCTGTCTGCAGACCTTGCTGTAGTCTTGTTTGTAAAAAGTTTCCATGTAATCTTCCCAGAGAATATGAGTGAACCATATCAAGTGGCTTGCAAGCATTTTTAAGCTGCATCAACAGAAGTTTGAAATCGTGGGACATCACTTTTATCTGTACTGGCCATCAGGACAAATCAGGTTCTTTCAAAAAAAAAAAAGCTTAGCTTCTTAAGTAGTTGGTAAGTGAAATAGTCATTACAGTCTGACTTCAGCTTTTCTTTGCTTTGCAGAAATGCAAGGATTGCTTGTAAAGTTACCTTTTCAGCACTGTCAACCATTGCAAATGGTT